CCTCTATAGCGCATCCAGGTGCATACGAAGTTCCTTCTTTTACTTCATTTGATGTTTTATTCTGCTGTCTGTGAAATGAAAATGACATCTGAAGAACAAATCGACGCCGTAGTATTAAAAGGTCGTAAGTGGTAGTTACGACAAAAATAGATTTTTTACAGATTCCCAAAATGAAATGTTTTATACACAAATTGATATAAAATTTACTTTGATCAGAGTTTAGTTTCCATAGTAACACGTGAAAACATTTTGGTCGTATCTAAAGCAGACAGATACGGAAGAATTAAAAGGGTGTATCTACCACTTACAACCTTTCTCTCACATTAAGTCATGTATTTTATCTCCCTAAAAAGTCTTATCTGACACTTACGACTCTTTTAACAAAACTGTTCAGCATCAAGCAAACTGACATGCCTGCAGATCTGATGGCTTGGAAGTGATGGAAAACGGTAAGACTATACTTATTTTGATTGTCTTTTGATTGAATTTAAAATAACTTTGAATTGATGCTTTAAAAACAGATTATATTTTACTCAAAATAAAACAGAATTATAATAAATCTTATTTTATTGCCATACACATACGACCTTTTATGAAGTTAATTTGAAAGAAAATTACATGCTGAAAGATCAGTCATTACTCTCATTAATATGTTATAAAGAGGGAAAATGTAAAGAAAAAAAGATATATACAAACAAACTTTTAAAAAAATATTATTGTAAAGTTAAAAATTATTGCTACATCGGCTATTAAAGGATTCAATGCAGATACATCCTTTTATTTCTGTATCAAAGTATTTTTTGTACCATTGTTTTCTTCTAAACACTGCTTGTATAAATTAAATTTAAAATAAGATTGTGGGTTAAATTTGGTTGTTTTCATTATAAAACTGTTATTATTCTCAAGAAAATCAAACATTTGTAATTAGATTAAGAATAAATGTATTAAAATACACATAAATTGTATAATAATAATGAAAAACATGCAGTTTGGAATTTAAATTAAATGACAAGGTTGATTTTTTATTTGAATTAATTAGCAAATATGTTCATTGAAATGTACTTGTATCTTTATATTTCTATTTTAAAAAATGATATGTTTTTGAATCTGTTGCAGGTTTGGATTGCATGTTTTGTAAAACAGTTAAAAAAGATCTTATTATATTGGAATGTGAAGAAATTAAACAGAGTGAAATATACTCAAGAATTATCCTTAAAAAGGGAGGTATTTGAAAACCAGGCTCCAGAGTACTTAAAGGGACTTTGGGCAACCCATCTTCTCAATGTAAAAGACAGACTTGATATTATCACTTTGAAGCAGAAAAAACTTAATGAAGAAATTCAGTTACATCTAAAAGAGCACAAAAATAATCATGGAAAGTGATAATGATGATGACATCACTTTATGCGCTTTGGCCAAAAAAATTCAAGAACAAAACACAGTAATTGATGATGACGATGACAATGTACCTCTGATTAATATTGTACTTCAGAAAACAAAAAATATTTCTAACAATATAGAAACTAGTGAATTAGAAGACAATGTACCACTAATCAACATTAAGAACAAAATAAAATGTTCAGATATTATCAGCAGTAACACTGATGAAAATATCAGCAAAGAAAATGAAAACAAAAAAGAAAGCATAAAACAAAAAACAAGCCTAGACAGAAATCCCAAACAGGCAAAGGATCAAGAGGGGTCTCAGAAGACAAAAGATCACATAGGACTTAGGAGTATAGAGGAGCAGGATAAGTTGTCGATGGAAGAGGGTCAGAAAACATTACAGGAGACAGAAGGTCAAATGAGGCTACAGATGGAAGAGGATCGGGAGAAATTGCAGAGGGTAGAAGATCAACAGGTGGTGCGGAGGACAGAAGATCAGAGTATGTCAAAAAGTGCAGAAGATCAACAGGTGGTGCAGAGGGCAGAATATCAGGGTATGTCAAAGAGTGCAGAAGATCAACAAGTGGTGCAGAGGGCAGAAGATCAGGGTATGTCAAAGAGGGTAGAAGATCAACAGGTGGTGCAGAGGGCAGAAGATCAGGGTATGTCAAAGAGTGCAGAAGATCAACAGGTGGTGCAGAGGGCAGAAGATCAGAGTATGTCAAAGAGGGTAGTAGATCAACAAGTGGTGCAGAGGGCAGAAGATCAGGGCATGCCAAAGAGGGTAGTAGATCAGCAAGTGGTGCAGAGGGCAGAAGATCAGGGTATGCCAAAAAGTGCAGAAGATCAACAGTTGGTACAGAGGGCAGAACATCAGGGTACGTCAAAGAGAGTAGATCAACAGATGGTGCAGAGGGAAGAGAATCAGAGTATGTCAAGGATGGCAGAGAAACAAGGGAGCTTGCAGAGCGCTAATGACAAAAACAATAATATTATTTTGTGAACAAGAGGTATGTGATGAAACAGGGACCTTTGCAGTTTCAAATGAAGGAAGTACTAGCATCGATGTTTTGATGCCTTTGTTTGAAAGTGATATTAACTTCGACTTTCCGGAAGTAGAAGATCAATTTGTATATGAAATATGTAGCACTAGTTATGAGACTCCTGAAATTGAAGTTAATTCAACGCCAAAAGAAAGCTTCAATTCAACAGACACAAGTACGGCACAAGAGGATACGGATACAGAAATAAGTGAAGAAGTAACAGAGTCTGAAGAAGAAATAGTGTTAAGACAATCTCGTCGAAGAAAGAAGAACGTTGAAAAATGGAAACAGACCATCCGAAAGAGAAGACGTAATGCAGGAGAGAGTTATGTGTCATCTGAAGGAAAAAATGTTTCAAAAAAAAACAATGAAACAAATCTCTTGCAAGTGTAAATTCAAATGTTCTAAAACTTTTAATGAAGAGGATCAAAGATTGATCTTCACGAAGTTTTGGCAATTGAATTATGAAAAGCAACGAAGTTACATCAAGGAAAACGTAATAAAGACAGATAAACGTCGGAGGACGACAATGACAGAGTCAAGGAGAAAAAAGACTCTACAGTACTTCTTCACAGATCGAGGAGAAAATCGAGTGCAAGTGTGCAAGAAGACCTTTCTGTGTACGCTTGGATTAGGAGAGCGCACTGTTCAGTATACCTTGGGACGACAGGAGAAAAACGGCATGGCAGATAGAAGAGGGAGGAAGAAAGGGTACTCAAAGTTTACTCAGGAAGACAAAGAGTACATTCGGGAACACATACGGTCTTTCCCAACTGTAAGCTCACATTATTGAAGAAAAAACACTCAAAGAAGATATCTCTCGAAAGATTTATCTATATCAAAAATGTACGAACTTTATCGGGAAAAATGTTCAGAAGATGGAATGGGACCAAAGAAATTTTGGCTGTATGATAGAATATTTGGGGAAGAATTTAATTTGGGCTTTCATAAGCCGAAAAAAGATCTGTGCACCATTTGTGAAGCTTATAAACTGTTACCTGATTCAGAAAAGGAGGCATCATCTGAAGAGCACAAGAAACACTTAAAGAGAAAAGAAAATGCCAGAGCACAGAAACAGGCTGATAAGTTAAGAGCTAATGATCAAGTTATGGTTTTGAATTTTGATCTACAAAAGGTTCTTATTACACCGCAAATTTTTGTATCTGATGCCTACTACTCTAGAAAGTTGGCCACCTACAATTTTACAATATATGATATGAATTCTAAATCTGTTGTCTGCAATATCTGGAACGAAACAGATGCCAAAAGAGGAAGTTGTGAAATTGCCACATGTTTGTTTCTATTTAACAAGAGTGTGGGGCCAAAGGAAGAAATTGTATACTTTTCCAACAGTTGTACGGGACAACAACGGAACTTACAATTCAGCACCATGTGTTTGTACACTGTTGTTAATCTTCCTATAAATGTCCTGACTCATTACTATTTTGAGCGTGGTCACTCTCAAATGGAGGGGGACAGTGTGCATGCCACAATAGAATGTGCAACGAAGAAATCAGAAATATTCACCACATCTGACTGGATCACAGCGATCAAAAATGCAAAGCGCAAAGATCCAAAGTACCAGGTAAAGGAACTAGGCAATGAAATGGTGTTGGACTTCAAAGAGTGTGCACAGAAGGTGGTGAGCTGCAATCGCAGAAAGGATTCCACAGGAGAAAATGTGCATTGGAATAAAATTCATGTTTTCCAATACAAGAAAGAAAACCCAGACACAATTTACTTCAAGTATGAGTTTGATGATGAGTTTCGAGCAATGCCTTTACAAGGAAGAAAAAGAAAAAGTAAGGTTGATTGTATGCAGTTGCATCAGTATCCACTGAAACCGCTGTACACCCACAGAATTCCAATTTCTGAGGCAAAATATAAAGATCTTCAAACACTCTGTCAAAGAGGTTTGATTCCACGTGCTCACCAGGATTTCTTCAAGGCTTTACCGCATGAAGGAGATACAGATGCCTTGCCAGAACCGAACGGTTCTGATGAATCTGACATTGACAATTAAAATGTCCCTGTCCTAGACGCATCTAGCGCATTTGTCAGTGACTGATTTCAAAGTGCTTTTTTAATTTAGATCTTTTTTTCCCATTAAAATGCGGATATTGTTACACTATGTAAGATTTTGGTTTATTATTGTTAAAATTTTGGTTTATTATTGTTAAAATTTTTAGTTACCCGGTTAATACATTAATTGTTACATTATTGTGAGGGAGCTGCCTCTTCCTTCAATTTTATTCAAGAGTTGCATGTTTGTTAGAGTTGAATTTTTACATTTTTTTTGTTGCAATACAATTTCATATGATTGTTAATCTAAGAGATAACCTGTTCTTTAATGTTATTGACAGATTCATAATATAAAATGTCAAATTTTGCTTAGAATGATAATTATACCATTTCTAGCGATTATAATTTCAATTATGTAAAAAAAAAAATACACTTTGTAGACATGGTTTTTATCATTTTTGTTTTTTCATTTTGCTGTTGTTATCAGTTTAGTTCAAATAAACATTTCAACAACTTGCTTTAGAGTATTTTGTATTACATGATTGTATGTTATTGCTGGTACAAGTTATCCACTGTCTCCATGTGCTTGGGAGAAAATAATCATTCATTTATCTAAGGTTCAATTTAGAGAACATGGGGAATAAGTTTAAAAAGGAATTCCAGGTCCAATTTTTTTGATAAATAGAAATCAGTCTTCCATATTAAGATAAAAATAGTTGTATAAAATACGCAGATGATTGGATATTACTAAGGATATGTATGTAAATTATTCAAACATCTGTTATTCCATATTGATATTTTACGTTAAAAGATGTTATTCTTTTATCAAAATGATATGAGTAAAATAATCTGATAATCATAATATTATTAATAGAAAAATGATTATAAAAGGTCGTAAGTGGTACATACAACCCTGTACAAAGCAGGAGAAACCTTGCCTGTAAAGTTAAATAAGGTCGTAAGTACCAGTTAAGACTTTTATTTTAACCTTAACAGAAGTAATTATAAATCTTATAAAGTATTTTCAATTATTTTTGCTTTATTTTCCTTTAAACTTTGTTAAAAACTATACAAAATAATCACATTTATTATTCAATAGGGTCTTTCATTTATCAAACAACCAAACAATATGCATTTTATTTTTTGCTCTAAACAGTTTTTTGTCATTTACGTCAAATTTTGAAACTCCAAAAAAGTTTACATGCGACCTTTTAATACTACGGCATCGAAATATACCCCACTTTATTGTACAATTGTAAGAACACTATATATCTGTATCTAAATTGAAGCTAAATGATTAAAAATAAAAATCTCATTGAACAGTGGTGATTTTCATTATTTTTCCTCTTTCTTTTCTTTTCTTAATATATTTTGTCTGATTTTGAAAAAAAATATTTACAGTGTATATATACACAAAACGGTACTCATTGTCAATCTCATTAAGATGTTAGATCTGCATTTATTTAAAGTTAATTTCAGCGTCAAACTACAAGTTTATAATTAACAATCTTTTTTAAAGAATAATTTTATCAGTCTATTTCAAAGCATTTCTCTTTGAAATTTAGCCCTTTGTTAAGACAACCCCTACAAACAGTGCGAACCACACAAAATTTATGGAGAATAGTTGTGATGTTTTGTAGAAAAGCGGGAAGGGGTGCTTTGTATGCTCTAAGTGTTCGCCATTAATCAGTTTTAATATAACGTTTCAAAGACTTGTCATACTGACAGACAACATTTTTTCCTTTCGTATTTTGGATAAAACAATTCTGATCCATGTTATTTTTTTACTGGGATATACTGAACGATCATTTTTAATTTCAAGATCTTAACCTATCTAGTTCAATGTGCAATCTATTACAATAGCTCTTTCCAGGTATCGGTGTATCATTCCATTAAATTTTTTATCCACATTTTATTTTTATGGAGATGCATAAATGTTCTGCTCTTCAACGATGGAATATTTTCACATCCACTGATCCAATCTGGTCTGACATTTTGGCGGCTTTCATTTTGTCAAATCGCCACCATTAATCGCTATCATATCATAAATACTATGAAGAAAGCGTTTTATTGACCTGTCTCGTTAAATTAATGTGAGCTCAAACACGACTTTTAAAAAGCTATTTTAACGAACGAACTCACTTATAATAAACAACGTAAGACGATAAACGGTAAAAAAAAAATTTGCAATATTTTCCCAATAAAATTTTTTGAGCGGGGAGTATTTCAATGAGGCGGGCGGCAGTTTCATACAAACTATAATTTTATTTTGGCCCAGTCCTACCTTTTTGGTTTCAAAAATCGCCTCCTTTGTTTGGACTCTCCGAATACCCTTCCTTTTGGCATGCTGCAGGTCTCTGAGTTTTGCCAGTCGGTCCGTGAAAAGACCTGGAGACAACCCCATCCTTCTGTTTAACTGAAAATAATGTAACCACACTCATTCAATTCATCAAACATGTACAGTTATATCTAGAAAATATGCAAGAAATTGTAAATCACACACACATCAGTGAAGTGGTTAGGATTGTGGCGTAAGTATCTGTTGATGCTTACATCTTTGATTTGAATTGTCTTGTAGGAAATAGAGAAGTGTAATAATTCAAATGTAATAAAAAAAAACTTACAGATAAAAAGTACTTATGGCCTTCATTTTTCTGGTTGACACTTTCATCAATTCTGTACAAAACACTACCCAAACTACTGTAGTGGTTACTTTTAGGTGCTTTTGAGGACACAATGCTATTAAATTTTTCATTAGCTTGTGAAATTCCTAGTGCACCTAGTTTATCAGCATTGCTTGCGTATGTCTTGAAAACATCACAAAGAGCATTCTGTAGAGCAACATCATTCAAAGGTTTCCCACCCGGAAAAGATTTGAATGTAATTTGGGATTCTTCAAGAATCTACACAAGGACGATGGTGAGCTTTCAGCTCAGGTGAGCTATAAAGATGAATGCTTATGTTTGACCAGAATAACGCAAAAAATAATCTATTACCTGACAGACTATCGTATGATCTGCCACTCCCTCTTTTCTGCGATCTTGCATCGACTCTTACAGTCAGATCTTCACTTCCTGTTTTTCTGTTTAATGAAACACATACATACGGCAGATGGTAACGGGGGTCTTAAGATCTAATTCAAATTAAAAATATTCCATTTTCTCTCCTGTCTCTACTTTACCTTTTAATGAGGTTAATTTTTTCCTGAAGTGCTTTATCGGTGGACCGGTACCTGCATTGACTGTTGCTGAAAATATAATTTAGAATTAACCCAAGTTGAAAGAAGAGTTATTTATTGAATTATTGTTTAGTGTTTGAAATTTTTCTTGAGTTAGAGAAAATTTCACTCTCATGGAGATGTCACTGAAATAATTAATACACACCAGAAGCAAGTTTGACATTATTTTGCATCCCTAATTCTATCATGCCTCTTCCCCGTTGGTACATTGTTTACCAGCTTGCAGGATGTATTACTGCATGGAATCTGCAATTGAACAATATTGCACTCAATATTACACCACAAGTGCTTAATAAATGGAAATAGTTTGTCATTAAATTTTGCACCTCAATATTTCATAATACTAAAACTATTATATAACAAGAGGCCAAACTGCCTCCTCAGTCACCTGTGTACCATGGCCTTGCCAATGAGGAAAGAAAATGACTAAAGCTTTCAAATAACCCCTGCATCCATTTCAAAACCATTCAGTAATCAACATAAAATAATAATTTGGACAAGTAATTCACTACTAATTTAGTTTTATTTCCTCTAAAACTGTTACGTAGTTTGTTTTTCTGTATTTAAAAAGTTGATAATAGACCTTTAAAAGTTAAGCTACCCCTTAATGTAGACAAAATTAAAATCCTTCAACCTAAAGATGGTTTGTGACAAGTTTGGTTGATATTGGCCTCAAAGGAGAAGTTATATAAATGGACGACATGCACACTTACAGAAATAGTGTAAGATAAATTTTATCTTAACTTTTGACACACGTCTGTACTTTCTATTTTACAACGGGGAATATCTCCGATCGAAAGAAAGGAATTCATGGAAAGAAAAAAAAATTATCAACAAAGCAACATGAATCAGGTAATTGCTCAATGACCTATTCCTTGTTAATATATGAATTCAAACAACATTTTTATTATGACTAGATACATTTGTACGCTGTCTGGGATCGATTAGTGATACATGTACATAATTTTGAGCCTGCGTGACCGTCGTTTGGTGGATTATATTATGACTTGCCGATACTGTTTAAATGGTTTGATACATGTGGTCACTATGACCACGGATCCATCTCTGCTTCTGACTGCCTTTCAAACCATAATTTCCGTTTACGCGTAGCAAAACCACCCTTTGCGCGTCCCATTTTCTGTCGTTTGTCAGTTCAGGAAATTGCGCGTTGTGGTTACTATGTAGATCGGAAACGGGTCAATTGTCGTAAAAAAAACCAGGGTAGTCAATGACAATTCATTCCACAGGAACCTGACATACATGTGCGTACGTTTTTCAATTCAAGTACATGTATAGCATTTTTCTGTAGCCGTTGATGATCTATTACAATGAATTTATTTTTTTATTGCATCCAAACAAGCTTCCACATATATATACTGTCAGTGGTATTTAAAAGTCATAGTCAGACACTTTTTCAACTTCATCTAAATTTTCAAGTAATGATACCTTTCTTTCATCAACCTGATCATCAAATTCTTAGTCAGCATCATTGATACCTTAATATTGAAAAAATTCTGTTTCCATATTTAGATGATTCTCTTCTCTCGGTATCAACAATCTGTACAGAATGACAACAAGACAAGATTTTTGTAGGATAACCATAGGCTTTTACTCTACTGTAGAAATAGTCGCCCGCGTGGCGCAAAAGTTAGAGGATCTGTTCTAAAGTAGCGAAGTAAGGATTTAATCCTTACGTCGCGGGTTCGAATCCCACTGTGGGACGTGGAAACCGGACCTTCGGGTGAAACCGTTTAAACCGAGGTCCCGTGTCGCAGTAGGTGCTGGCACAAAAAAGATCCTTCACTGCTGAATGACCCTTAGTGCCAAGTACAGGAAAAAAGATGCAGTTATCCACCGGCAAGTGGTGGCGTCTCCATATGAGTGAAAAATTCTCAAGAGGGACGTTAAATAAAATACGATCAATCATTCAACAATACTATAAAAATATAAGACATTTTTTTCTGGTCTGCGAACTAAACTTTGAAAAGTTAACAGCGCTTAAGTCGTTTTCGGTTCTTCAACGACCAATTAAGCCATTGCAATCCGTCCAGATTGATGTATTTTCTTGAAATCAGTATGGACACTATCCAGGAATAGGGCATTTGCTTTATTTACAGTCTTAGTATTTCACAGTCGTAGTGGTATTCGCAGCCTACGGGCAACATTGATCCTTTTGATGTCTCTGGGAAAACTGTGAAAATGGTCTTTTTGGAAAATAAACATGGTCAGGTTTGGAAATCTGAATAAAATGACAAAAAGGCAAGGAAAAGAAAATTGGCTATACTTTTATTAGAATTGATTTACAACTCTGTCTGAATAATGAAGTGAAAAACATCAAAGCCAACACAAGTGTTTATTTCTTAAAAATCATATAAATCAATAAAATGACAAATAAGTTTAAAAATGTTATTTCATTTCAAAAATCTAACGGCCCGTGGGTCTTATTCCCAAAATAGAGTGGAAGATCCCTTGCAGGTAATACGTTTAAAACTGCCTGATTCTGTAAGATTATCAATCAATCCTTTTTTATTAATAGATTTCTTTTTACTTAAAAAATAAAATTGACAAATAGAGAAAATTCAGATTAGCCAATATCCATTTTAGTTAAATTATTTAATGTCAATTTGGTGATATTAACTTAAGGACCTTATATGGTAATATATCTTTATGCAAAAAGAAATACATCCAATCTTTTCAAATATAAAAAGGCATATAATGATTGGCAACAGTATTTTATTTTTATTCTTGATATCCAGGAAAAAGGTAATGACATTGCTCAGACCTTGTCTCTAATATAAAGCAGTTAATTTTAATCTCAATGATACTATTACTCGGTGATATTGTCTTCATTTATATTATTTAATGCGCACAGGAAATATAATCTGTAATTGATCCTTGTCGAAACACTTAGACTACGTCTTTTAAATTGCTAGATATTCTCTTAAAGTATCCTTTTACATACAAATGTCCTGTTTACTAGATATGATTTTCATTACAGGACAAAATATCTATGATAGGTATTAAAGTATCTAGGATAAGGTTAAAATATTAATCGCATGTAGTGCTAAACAAGAATAATTTTAATCTGATCTTAATCAAAATCATTACGAAATTACTGAAGTGTCTGACATATCTCTGTCATATTTTGGTATATTACTAGAAAAAGACGTTAATGTCAACTCAACAACAACACGTTTTGATAATTGTAACTTTTAAGTTTTTATTTTATAATTGCCAACTTACCGTATTGATACACAAATTAATTATTCATCACTTGGATATGTAGTTTGTCTCCAAACTGATTCGGTACGCAAGGCCATGCTCTACTTACAAACAAATTCAAAATGAAACAAGTCTCATTTCAAATCGACGTTTTGCTAATTCTATGTATGATACCATGAACTTGTCAGCAAGTAAAAGTTTAGAACAAACATTTTGAGAGTACTGCATAAGAAATGCTTGTCCCTTGACTGTGTAATCTGGCCCCAAGACCATGCATAAACTGAGAATAGACCTAAGTCAAAATGTCACATCGTTATAACTCGCAAAATAATTTTGATAGTAAAATAAAATTTTCATCATATGTTTGAATTGAATTGTTCTGCACAATTGCAAACTTTTAAGCAGATACATTGAATGGAACTTAAGATATCAAAAATCAAAATTTTGACTTAAGTCTCGTCGCATTTAATGTTCCTCACTGCTGCTTTCCCCTAAGAATTTAAAATGTCCTAATTCCATAAAAAAAAGCAATGAAGCTGAAGAAATTCCAACTTGATCTCCCTTATAACTCATCACAGTAAAGTCACATACCAAAATTCAGTGCAAGATATAGGAAAAATTTGCAGAAAACCCATAAAAAGTGTACGTGTTGTAAGTTCGTAATTACGTTAAAATCAAAGAAGTGGAACGAGATGCAATCTTGATCTGTAACTCACCAAGATAACACTCGCACACCAAAAATCAACTCAATATCTGCAACCGTTAAGGGGAAAAGTGCGGAAGTCTTATTTTTAGCTCACCTGAGCCGAAGGCTCCAAGGGAGCTTTTCTGATCAAAATGTGTCCGATGTCTGCCGTTGTTGTCGTAAACTTTTCACATTTACATCTTCTTCTCAAGAACCATGGGGCCAATTTAACCAAACTTGCCACAATGTATCCTTGGGTAAAAGGGTTTCAGGTTTGTTAAAATAAAGGGCCGCACTCTCTTTTCAAGGGAAGATAATTATGAATTAGCGAAAAATTAATGGTATCTTTTAAA